GCCCAGTGTTCCCTGCCGGACCTCAACCACGACCATCCACGCCCAGTGTTCCCTGCCGGGCCTCAACCACGATCATCCACGCCCAGTGTTCCCTGCCGGACCCCAACGCCCCTGTCAAAAGCCATGCCAGATAGAATGTCAAAAGCTATGCCAGCTAGAATGTCAGAAACCCTGCGTGATGGCGAGTCTTTCAAACATGCATGAATATATGGAACAAAGAGTGTCAGAAGAAATGACAGACTGACATGCGCAATGACCTGCCAGGTGAAACAAATGATTTGGCTCAGGTGGTCCACTGCCATGTTTGGTCATGTTTAAGCAAACCTGTTGAGAGCTCTGGAGTGTACTTCACATGGCCCACTGACATGTTTATATACTGTTTGACAGACTGACATGCACAATGACCTGCCAGGTGAAACAAATGATCGGGATAGTTAGTTACGCAAAAGTCGCGTGACAAAAGCTTCAGACAAAAGCGGAGTCAACAAGCTGTTTTGAAATGTCATGGTGGGGATCACTCGAAGTAAAGTAATTTGGTCTACTTGTTTCCCCAATGGCGGAGCCGGTGGAGGACCCCCGCTGCTCGTCTCCACCGTTTCGCCCAGGTGCCGAGCGGCGAGGTGTGCTCCGCCTTGGGCTGCGCAGCACCTCAGGAGCCGTCGGCGGGCCGGAGACACTTCTTGCTGCGTGGGACGGCTCTGGCGGAGCCCGGGGGCTCAGACGCCCTGAGACGTATAGAGACGCCTGGCACACGTTGGTGACTAAAAAGTGACTTAGTGGTTGGGCCCCCCAGCAAGTCGCAGTTTAAAAGGACATGATCAAGAATTTCTTCAGTGCACAGACTCTTTAAGGACCACTTGAAAGTGACTAGGATTGTGGTTTATGATGTTTTTGCTGGGAGATGTTGTCATGTTGGGTGTGGTGTGGTGCGTAAGTAAGTGGCTTTGAGGCAAGTGGCAGTGCCCATGCTGGCCGCCCTCATGCCTCTTTGCTACAGATACTTCTCAGAACAGCGCCCAGATGCCTCACCAGGCGGGGGGGGGGGCCGTTTCGTCTGACCGAGGGACCCCGGGGGGGCAATGGGACGACAGATGACGACAGCCTGTGACTCCCAGGTGGAAGGAGGGGCAACAGGTTTCAGAAGTAGGAACAAGAACTCTTTGAACACGGTGAACAGCCCAATCAAAGGAGTTTCTCCTGTGTTTTTGGGGTCCCCCAAACTCCTGCGTTTGGAGGGTCCGGACGGTCTGAGAACTCAGGATCGAGGCTCCATCGATCGGGTCCAAACAGCGCCGATCGGCTGGACGCCGATGATCTCGACATGAACGGGTTCGAAATCGCGGGAAGACGAGCTGCGTTTGGAGTGGTTTTTGCATAGCAAGATGTGCAAGATGCAGTGACACCATGGGAAGAGCCCCTCTCATTCTTTGGCGTCATACTTGGGACCAAATCGTGTGGAACTAGCCTTGCCCGGACATAGGAACAGATTTGGATCTGAGGTGAGAGTTTCATACATCTTAGGGACTAATCATGTCTAATAACGTCGATCTGACAAAGTCTTTCACTTCGTGATCTCTTAGATCTTTGGCACTGGACATCTACCTGGAGTCTCAGTTCGTACCTCCGAACCATGGGGTTTGTAGTCGTACCTGTTTCTTTTTTGGGTTTGTGGTCATGTCCCATTTCTCTTCAGGTATGAAGCCCAGGCTTGGTCGGGTCTCGGGTACGGCCTGTGCTTCACCGGTCCCGCCCGCGACCGCCGACACCGGGCCAGGCGCGCTGCGCCCGACGGCGACCGGCGAGACCGGCGAGACCGCCCTGCCGCGTGTCTTGGGCGTTCGAGTGGCGGGAAAGGTGTTCGGAGGAGTCGTCTTTGCAGTGGTTTCAGAGGCTCGATGGCACCTCATCATGCCTCAGGTGGTTTGTATGAACCCTCATCATGCCTCAGCTCAACGACATGTCGGGGATTGTAGTGGTCTATGCCATCTACTCTAACCACTGTAGTTTTGAGGGAGAAACCCAGGAATTCTTGAAACTGCTCAAGGTAGATCAGGTCTGATCCGTCTAGGTCTGTAGATTGCTTCTCTTTTTAATGAAGTGGTTCATGATAGGGCCTGAAAGATTCCAAAGGACCTATCAAACATATTAAACATTAGATTCATCCAATCATCTGACTGTGATGCCCCTCACAGGATTTCCTTCACTGCTCGAGCACGCGTTCTCGGGTTAGTTTGGGGGACCAGTAGCAACCCCGCAGGCTTCTGCAGACTTTGGGACTTGGATCTCTCCACCGAGCAGCCTTTCTGAGCCCAAGAAAGAGAGACACAACACAGATCGGTGAGCATCAAAGAAGACATGAGATGTACCCAAAGAAGACTCGAGCTGATCAAAGATTGAACTGATCGTCAGTGTGACCGGTGACCCAAGCACATGGCTTCCTTACCAAATGACCAGCAAATGTTCAAGCATTTCCTTTTCAGTTTTAAAGCAAGGCTTGGGGTAAACTGGCCACTCGGCTTGGAAAGAGAAAGCGCACCATGGAAAGTTCCGAGCTTCACTCAGCCTTTGAGAAAGCCTTGAAGAGGCGGGATCGAGATCTGCGTCTGGTGGTGGAATGGATCTGACCAATTGCTAGAGGCTTTTATTTTTCCCGCAGCGATTGTGGGGTGCTCAAAACTCTTGAAGTGGCTTCACTGCCCTGCTGCCCAGTCAAGCAAAGGGAGGGGAGAGCTCAGTCTGCTCAGTCAAGGCCCCAAAAACACAGGTCGGGTTGGCCATGTGAATGACATGGAGTTGGAGGGATGTGGATATTATGAGGATTTGCAACCTGCACATATATAGCTGTCGCTGTAGCTTAGCTACCTGTAGCAGCCTGATGCTGTAGCAACCTGTACTGTTGAAAAAGCACTTGCCAGCTGTAGCTGTAGCTGTAGCTCTTCACTTTCAACACTTGGACCCCTCAACGCCCTTTCACCTGTGCCGTGCGCTCCTCAAAAAAGACGCGAGCTTCTTGCGCACACGTCTTGCCGTCTCGCCCTGTGTTGCCAACCCTGTCGTGCGCGCGCGATTCTGGTGAGGCATCGGGAAGAGGTTTTTGCGCATTTGAACAGTTGGTTGGAACGGCTTGACGTGACCTTGGAAGAGCGCTCTGGGTTGCCCTTCGGCTTCGGACTGGAGAAAGATCTGCTGGAGGAGCTGAGCAAAGAAGCAGAGGTGCTGGCCGATTTTGTTGGGATTGTTCCCGCACCAACTGCCTTTTCAAATGATGCATGAATCCGCTTTGAACCTATAGATCCCTATCATGCTTCCCTGAATGTCCCGATTCTTTTTCTTATTCTCTCTCTTTCTCTCTCTCTCTCTCTCTCTCAGAGACCGCTGCCCCCGTCCAGGTCACCGCCCAGGTCTCCGAGCACCGCTCCCAGCGCTCCGAGCCGCGCGGAGCCGGCGCCGACGTCTCCGCGACGGCGGAGGAGCCCTCGGAGCTCGAGGAGCCCAGCGCCCGCTCCGAGGAGCGCTCCGAGGACGTCGTCACGGCCGCCGCCTCGGCGGCCTCGGCCGCGCGGAGCCCCGGGCGCTCCATCGCCTCGGACGCGCAACGGAAGCTGAACCGGAGCGGCAGCTATGAAACGGCCAAGGCCGAGGAGACGCGACTGCTGTTTTCCTGGGGAGGCATTTTTTCGGACTTGGATATAGGTGCAGCTCAGATTCTTTGGCGAAGATTTGGGTGCCTTTTGCTTTCCTGTGTTGTTGTTGTTGTTGTTGCGTCACTTCTTTCTGTTTCTTAGGTAATCACAACACTGGTCACAGTGGTCACAGCAGTTATGTCTTTTTTTTCTCTCAAATATCAAGATACTCAAGAAGCGCGTTCTCCTGCCCTTATCCTGCCCAAAGCCGCAGCTTCTCCAGTCCTTCCCTCCTGAGGACTCGTTCGAAGTGCAAGAAGAGACTGCAAGACTTTCAAAACTATGCCTTCCGGATCGTGAACTCCACCTGGTTCAACGCTGCCTTTGCCGTTATCATCATTACCAATTCCTTGCGCCTAGCCAAAGAAGGAGATATGTATATATATATATACATACACGCACACACACACACACAGGCTATATAATGGATACATATATACATATGTATATCCACACATATACATATATACATATGTGTATATATATATACACACACTAACATGCACAAACGGTAAACCCCACCACGGACCTATGTCTTCTTTGATAACTTTGTTTTGTCAGTGTTTTGAGCATATTTTTATGCACTGTTCTTAAAGTGGAGACGGATTAAGCCTTCAATGTGTTTTAACACATAGATTTGGGAACACATGTACTCACAATCATGAATGTGCCACGGTGATCAACACACTTCAGAGTACTTGGCACTAGACTCGAGACACATTCCAACATGTTGCCGCTGTTGCAAGAGGTTTTAAGAATCAATGATGCTGGAGCGTTCGCTGTTGAATCCACCAGTCTTCGTGGTGTGTGCTAGTTACACTAAGACGAAGCCTGGAATTGAGCGCAAGGTGGGCCGATAGAATCCGAAGAACCCCTGTTGAAAGAACATCATGACTCATGACCCCCACAGCGATTTATGTTGAAGGGCACTCTGCTCCGCAGGGAGAACCGAGAACTCTTGACGGGTCTCAACTTATGCGTGGAAACCTACAGCCTACACATGTTTCTTTATGAGCTCATTTCGGATTTGTTTGCAGTGTTTGTTCAATGCACTTGGTTGAAGTTCCTGGAGGTTTCTGCCAAGGCCCATCTATATATATAGGTAGCACAGAGTTGCGTGGAACGGCCAGTTCAAAGGCATATTCTTCGCCCAAACATCTGGAGCGTCCACCACAGAGGAGAGTTCACATGAGCAACTTCGGTCTCCAAACATCTGCTATTCCAAACAAAGTCAAGTCCAGCTTCCAAACCCAACGTTTCAGTTTCCGAACCCAAGTCGCCGACTCTGTTCCGAACCTGTTGTCCATTCCGCCTGGAGTTTGGTGAGATTTTTCCTTCACTCGCAGTCTCTGAGGTACTTGGGAGCGCAGGTCGAAGTGAATGCGGCCCACGATGGGCTTTTTGTTCATCCCGTCTCTGTGGTGATCCATATGATCTATATGGGTCTGCCGGTTGCCGATCGGGTGATTCCTTTTCTATTTTCTCCAAAAAACCGAATCCTCTCTATTTATGTTGATGTGAAGGTTTTTTTCCAAACGGGTCAGCTAGAGTAAATGGTTTGAACATTCCATGACCTAAGCATCTGGACTGCCAATTTCCCAGGTCTCTTTTCGATTGAGATCTTCTTTCGCTGCGCTGCCGTCGGTCCTCGCTCCTATGTGTGTGGCTCTGGATGGGCTTGGCACTGGCTAGACATGGTCGCGGTGTCTCGCCCGATGCCCTTCGCGGTCGCGGTAGGCGGAGAGAAACGCAGAACACCTGGAAAGGTTGACGTCTTTTTCGAGTGCCGCTTGTTCTATCTACTTGGGGGCCTGGGGGTTTAAGTAGTTTTCATGCAATTGATGGCAGTGCTTGTGGTGGTTGCTATCAGCTGCTGCTGCACCTGCCACCTGCCATCTGCCACCTGCCCACCTGCCGCCCACCTGCCACCGCCTGCCGTCTCCGGTCCCGTTCCGAACCCAATCCCCGGTGCCCATCTCCGGCTTCCTACCGCGCCCGGGGAGGTCGCGACCGAACCGTCGCTGAAGACCGAGGTGTTTTCATCGTGGGTGGAGTTCGTGGTCGACTTTCTGGATCAGAGTGGAACGTACTCCTCGGCTGCCAGCAATTTTCGGATTCTGAGCAGCTCGGCGTCAGGAAAAGAACCACCTGGATCTTCCAACTATGCAACATTGCTGCCTTTTCATCTGCAATACCATCCTGAGAAACCACATGCACACGCTTGAACCCTGATCTTGCTTCACACCGCGGCCGTTTCTTACTTCCTGCAATCGCAGGGCCCTTGAGCCACTTCGTTCGCGTGAAAGCCATTTGCTGCGCTGCTTCGCGGTTCGTCAGTGGTAGCGGAGCCGGTGTGACGACCCGGCTCTGCGACGCCTTCATCCTCTTGGCGGGGGACGCCCCGACCAAAGGACTTCACGACTTCTTCTTGAAGGTTGTCTTCAACTTCGACTACCAGTTTGACTTTGTGCGTCTTAGAGCCTTGGGGCAGTGACGTCACTACTTGCTTGTTTTGGTCTACGACCACCTTTTCTTCTTGGCGGCGAAACCTGAGCTTCCGCCACTTCTTTGGCTTTGGCCACTTCATCAGGTCTACGCGTGTACACCTTCCGCGTTGACTTCTTCTTTGCCTACCAGTTTGACTGGACTTCATTGCTTGACCTATCATGCAACGACCTCAACGAACGTGGACTGGCCGGACTTCATCGGCGAGTCCCTCGGCTACAAGTGCGGCGGCGGCTGCAGCACCTACGCCAGAGATGCCAGAAGATGGCCCTGGACTATTTCCTGAACCTGAACAGTTTCCTGAGCTACCTGAGGTACCTGGACCTGTTCATCGTGCACCACCAGTTCAAGCTTTAGATGATCCTCTCCAAGAGCAGGATCCTTGGACTCGAGGTGCTGCTTCACGTCGAAGCACGCCCAAAGCTGGTCAGCCCGCTGAAGGTCGACGACATGTTGACTACAGAATGGATCCTGCCCCGACATGGGGTGGTGACCTGCCGGAGAAGAATTACAAAGACTACCACAAGAAGCTACGACTATGGATGGTTGAAGCAGAAGCTCGCATTCCGAGCAACTTGATAGGCAAGCGCATCATCGACTCCATCCCGCTTGGCTCCAAATTGAGCGCCCTCCTTGG